CTGAAGTCTATTTTTCTCTAATCTTTTTTGCTCTAGGAATATCTCTAGGCCTTGTAGGCCTCTGTCCGTCACTCACTGACTTCTTTGGACTACAAGGCAAGGCTTGTGGCTTTAACCCAGATGGTCTATAACTGCAGCACTGGCAGCCATCTTATGGCAGCGTTTGCTTAAAGCCAGACAGCAACATGGCTGAAAATCAGTAGGAAACATTTATAATGGCTGCATTCCTATTTGGTACATCAAACTAAAGCATGGGCAAGGTTAATATTGTGTTCTTTCTTCTTTCAGCAGTAAATCAAGAGATGGCTTATATTGTAACATTTTCACTGTATAAAATTAAGGGAAAATGACTATTAAAATCATAACTTCTTAAATGGCTAGATATTATAATTATTATTAAGAGACAACGTGTCTCCTAGCTCAGCATGCAGAGTCCAGTACTGATCATCTCGGCCTATCACGTGCCTGTTTGGACCTTGATTCCCGGCATGCAAAAACAGGTTCCCAGTCCCCACTGGGCCAAAGGTGCCTCACCCACCCGATACATCCATGTAGAGGACACGTAGCATTATCTACTGATAAACCACACTCAGATGTATTCATTCTGAAATGACCAAAGTATTTTTTTTTATCCCAAGAAGAACTGATTCTTTACGTAAGAAAACAAATCTGATTCTCTCTCTGATTCAAATCATCAACGCTTTCACTGTGATAGCATTTGTTCTGTCCAAAAGAACCAACTCTGCTCAGACCCCTAAAGGTCTTGACTGATGTCATTTTGGAGAAGTGCGTACAACTTGAATTAATCACGTGCATGTACTTTCTGTAAGGATCAAGGTATCACTCTTTTTTCTGTTTAAGCTGAAGAGCACTGTGGGAGATGAACGGGCACGCTGTAGGCTACAGCACGCTCACAGCTAATCTGATGGTAACCCACTACAGATTCTAGTTTGCATTTTCATCATGACTGTTAGCGTTTTATCAAAACTCTATCTGATCTGTCACTTTATAATGTTTGTCTTGCTTTAATGATTTTTCCTAATAGTTTTGTTAGATGAGATTTAGAATATTTAGTAAATTGTTGCTACTGTATGCTGCTAAAACTGCAACTATATTAAGAAATTGATTTGATAAAATCATTTGTCAAGTTTATTGGGATTACATGTGACCATTTCTTATCACAGCACACTGAAGCACATTCTTCAATATTTGTCTGTACAAAGCTGTTAAGCCTATAACAGAAATGAGACACACAGGAGCTGGCAACTAGTTGTATGTGGGGCTGATGTTCTGTCCTCATTACAGCCAATCATCTTTCACTCTACCCTACACGCTGGGCTGGCTGTTGCTCCAGACCTGCAGTCCACTTAACTGACTTTATTTTTGTAAATGGCCGGTGTTTAAATGTATATCTGTTTGGATCATCTAACCACCTTTTATTTAATCCTCATTTTCTCTCATATTTGGGTCGTGTGATGTTACCTCCTGATCCTGCTCATTATTGCTCTGTTCCCCCCCTTTTCAGATGTGTTAAGAGCATATTCTACCATTCTTAGTTTCTTTGTTGCTTCAGTTTTCAACAACTTATTCTTATGTTGTCACATCTGTTGCATGGAGAGAGGATGGCATTGATGAACTGCATGTAGTAGGCTATGTCTATCAAGAACTGTTGGTATGTACCGCTAATTTTACATATATGCAACAAGTTTGTCTAAACTATACAGTTTGATTGTTGTATACACATATACAACATATTGAATAAAATATTTATATAAAGGTGTACTGTAATGTCAGTAACATACTTAATGCAATATAGTGTGCAGTATATTATTGCACCTGTCATTTTTGATGGGACAAAGAAAACAGTGGGGCTGCCTAGTTTAAGCATGAAAAAGGCCAAAGTAGAATTTACATTCATTTTTTCTTTGTGACTTCTTATTGGTCCTCTTTTCGAGTGGTGACCGAGCACTTGCGTCAGTGCAGCTCTCATGCCCTGATGCTGCCTTTTGAAGTGACATGGACGTCCAGCATGCCACAACTGAACTGTGTATGCCCTTCTCTGTTTTCTCCACTTAGAATTTATCACAAGTACGCGTTGAGTGAAAAACATCCTTCACGTACCTTCAGTACAGTATGGGTTATACGGCAAATTGTTTGCTTTGATTTCTTGGTGGATAAGTATAGGCACTATTAAAATGGTCATGTTATAACAAATTTGTAACCATGTATGATTAACGTCTTCGCATTGTTTTCCATGCAAAATGTTGTGTAATGCAGCACATGTAATGTTTTATTATTAAAAAGAAATAAAAAACCTCAAACAGAAACCTCTGCCTTGAGCTTGCAAGTGAACTTTGAGTCCAATTTTGGGAAAACACACAACTCTGTAACAGCTAAAAACAGACCTGCATTATTCCCCGCAATATCCCACATATTCTAAAAATATCACCTTAATAAAAGAAGGTTTTCCTCTTTCCAACATTTGGATTTGTCATGTATCTGCATCCTGTGTGTAGCTATCTGAAGCATGTAAGCATTCCTACATTATAAACCAATGTACAGTAAAGTTGGTTTGGAAACATACATATTTAGATTGGAATATATCTTAAACAGAAAAATGTTTGTTTTTTTTCATCTACCAAATCATGTTTTTAAAAAAGCATCATTTGTAACCAGTACAAGGAAATAATGATTGCTGTTAGAGATTTGCAGAATTACATCCATGTTTCTGTCTGTCTTTTCCCTCCTCCTGTGGTTTCCAGCTGTTTTACCAGCCTGGCCATGACTGTTGGTGGTGTTCCTGGTTGCTCCTGGCAGCCAGGTCTCTCGTGTCTAAACCCCAGTGTCCTGTTAATACTCTGTTCCTTCCCAGATTTCGCAAGCGTTCCCCGTCCAGCCGTCCCAGCACTCACAGTTGCCGCAGTTGCACAGCCCATTCCCTGTGAGAAGAAAAGCTGTGAGTTAAAAGAGCTGTGCCATCAGGCCTGACCTTTAACAAGGCTCCTCTTTTCACACCCTGCATCAGTGGGGCAGCTCTCTGGTGGGGGACGGAGGCTGACTACACTACTCAGGACAGTGTGTGGTTCTCTATTGTTCTTACCCACACAGTAGAGGAGAAGATTGGTTTAATTAAGAGTGGAAACATTTTATACATTAGATATATGCCACGTTTGTACAAAGGTCACATATCCCAAAATCTGACAAGACTTCCTGCCCTCTCTCTTCCTGTGGTAGTGATACAATAAAGCAAGAAAGTCCTATCCAGAAAAATGGTGTTTAACCACCCATGTTTGTTTTATATTCGGTAGCAAAGAAAAGTCAAAAGCCTCATGTTTCAGCTGACAGGTTAGGGTGAATGGAGGAGTGCAAAACTTTAGTTAAAGTCCCATCTGCCACAGTTAATCCCTAACCTTTACTGAGTAGTTTAAGTGACCTCAACTAGGGAAACATTACTACTGACATGTCGGTCTCCAACCAACAGCTGAAGCCAGCTCACCAACCCAATCTTATTGGCTGTTATGGGATGCACTGACAAACAGCACATTATTTTCATTAAGGTGTGATGACTTTTCATTGTAGTATAGTGACACCTAAAGTAGACCAGCATCCTTCTCTGGGTGCTAAAACCCAGCACCGCCAAGCTCTGCACAAGCTCCCTGAGCTGTCAGAGATGCTGGGGTAAGGAGCGCTCCTCCCGTTCTCCTGTCACACAGTTGAAAAGACATATCTGCTGTTAAATATCTCTGTGGGAGAGAGGAGAGAGGGGTTGATGGGCAATGAGGATTAAGCAGTGAAAGTAAGGTGAAAAATCAGAAGGCGAGGATAAGAACAAGGAAAGAGAGAGAGGAAGGAAGATGCCAGAGAAAGGGACGGAGCTGTGTTGTTGATTTGCTGAAGTCGGGGAGACTCGAAAGAGTTTCCTCTCTTTACAAATTTTTGTATTTAATATACAGGACCAGCACCTTCTGCCATAGTCTACCAATGTTTGATATACTGTAGACGAGGACTGGAAAAACAAGAAAATACAAACTGTAGTTTGAGCAAGACAGCAAAAATCATTTTTGCATCACCCAGCAGGTTTTTGCAAGAGAATGAATGAAGATTTCTTTATACAGGAGACATGGAAGGATGCAAGCTACACTTCATTTAGATATGCTAACAATTATTATAACCTCTTTGCAGTGCTGTGAAGTAACTAAATACATTTACATGAGTACTAACTTAAGCAAAATGATGAGATATTTGTACTTCAGATGACTATTTTTATTCTCTGCTACTTTATACTTCAGATTTGCCACATTTCAGAGGCAAATATTGCACCATTTACTAGACTACATTTATTTGATAACTGTGGTGACTAGTACTTTTCATAATCTGATGAATAATACAAAATACAATATAAGCAAAGACTTCATTGATCCCAAGTGGAAATTCACAAACTACTCAAAAGTAATTACAATGATACCTAATTACATTTTGCTCCTGTTTTACAAGCTGCAACATTAAAGTGAAACAAAATAAAGCATCAATCATTATAATCTAATAATATTATATACATGAATGTAAAATGTGCCATTCTGTGTATAGAGCACATTTACACATTTTCGGGGCTTTACGCATGTTGTGGTGCCAATACTTGTGCTTGTACTTAAGTAAAATTATGAATGCAGGACTTTTACTGTAACAAAGTATTTTTACACTAGCTTTACTTCAACAAAGGATCAGATTACTTCTTCTACCACTGCCTTGAACAGTGGCAAAGTTTTCCTTTTATGGAACAATGTAACCCTGCAGTACAAAAGAGTAAGCTGTAGTTTGGCTTCAGTGAGCAAAATGAAGCATATCTCTGGCACAGATGGATCGCCCATATTCTCTCTGAAGGTGGCGAGGAAGGCTGTGTCGTGTGTAATTATCAGCTTTTGGAGAATCAATGTATAGGACTCAAATCAAAGGAGCAAATTCTGTGAGTTGATCCTGGACAAACACAATTAGATGTGTTGCATGATGCGATGTTAAAATGTATTTATGTATTTGTGTTTACCTGTGCTGCAGGCTGCCAACCAGAGCTTTTTGTTTCCTTTCTGAAATGGTTGCTGAAATGATCATATTTGGTGCACGAAATTAACCAGCAAGCATTCCTAATACATTGAATTTTCCACATCACTCAGCAGTTGTGTGGAATGAGATTCTGCAGCTTTTGGTGGGTCTATGAAATCTCTGGTTGCAGACTTGCCAGACAATTTTTTGTTATTATTAACCAATTATATGTATGTACAGTATATATCTTTTTGGATTTGCCTTTTCATTTAGAAAAAAGACAAAAAAGCCACTTTTACATATATACTCCAGTCATTAGCATGGTAATCAGGAACATTTAGCAGATGTTGCCATGCATTTTCTGTTGTCTCCCAGTTTTTCCACAGTTTTTAAGCAATGTTTGTCGAGAACCACTAATGCTTATTTGAATGACATTAAGGCTGACATTTGGAGTCAAAGTCATAATGAGAAAGAGAAACACTTCTGAACAGCTGTTCAGATTGTGGCAGGCCCCAGAGTGAAAATGATTATAAACATGTACTAAGATTTCCATTATCATTGGGGAGAAGATGGCTACTGTGGCTAAATGGCTTCATAGAGGAAAACTGTCTGTGTCTTGGCCACGATTAGTTTTCTGACTGACAACCATGAATCTTGTTAGTGAACCTGCTACAAAACTGGTAGATACAATGGTGTGTGAGTGTTAGAGAAATGTATGGGTTGTTATGGTTCTGAGGAACCAAGACCTGATCTGGCAACCGAGTCAGACTCTGTCTAATTGGGTTTGGGAGGGCCTTGTGTTACTGCCACAGTCACATAAATGTGTGAATATACCGTATGTACTACCTAATATTAACTGAAAAGACATGGTACGACATAATCACTGTGCGATGAAGCATTTCAGAAAGTCAGTAACATATGTAAAAATGTATACTATTAAACAATAGTAGAAGTATTTATCATTTATGTAAGTAAAAGTAGCAGTACTGAACTATAAGAATATTCAACTAGAAGTACAAGATCTGAATTCAGATGTTAAGTAAAACGCAGATTAAGTATCAAAAGCAAAAGCATGATGTCGGATGACCCATGTCAGTGTTTATAATATTAGAGCATAATACTGATATATTACCATGTAAGCAGTATAATGTTTGGTAGTATGTAACAATGAATCATATCTTATAAACTGACGTTCCACCACTGATAGTAAATAAAAATTTATTTTTGAAATTATATTCACAGATTCCACATTGGTGAGGAATTGTAATCCTTTCTGTGTATTGCCAAGCTGGTTAAAGAAAAATTTCTCGTTAGTGCTAGAAACTAACCCTGTATAACTTTTGGTTTTAGTTTTCTCTATTTTGGGTCGGGTTTAATTATCTGCTGATCTTTTTTGGGTTGAGAATTTCTTTTTTCTTCTTTTTTTTTTTGGAAAATTCTGCACTTCAGGAAAGTTTTCCATGGGATTGGACCTCTGGTGTATGTGTGTTTCTGACACTACCTGTGCAAATGAGCCCGTCGTATTTGTCACACTCTCTGTCATCACACTCGCAGTACTCTCCAGACACCCACCAGTCCTGGGGAGAGCAGATACATTGGCCACAGTGACAGGAACCTGCAACACACACACACACACACACACACACACACACACAGAAAACTGTTAACTAACATCACACTTTTTCATCCAAGCTAAGTAACATTTTGACAGGGTATACGGCAAGTTTAATTTTTACAGCTTCTTCTTGCTGTGTTTCAATAAACGCTGTTTGCATGAATCCCTGCAAATTATTTATTTTATATTTTGATAGTGTTGAAAAGAGCAGATATGAGAAACAGCAACTAATATATTTTTTCCACCAGGAAACCACCTGCACTTTAAACTCTTCACCATCAGTGTCCATTCTCCTCCTCTCACTAAAGGGAGGATAGTGAGTTATTAAGGATGGGGGTGGCTGTGACTCAGGAGGAAGAGTGGGTCGTCTCCTAACCTTAAACTTTGAGTGTGCTGCAATGCATAGAAAAGCGCTATACAAGTATAAGACCATTTAGACCACAGTGAGAAACAAAACTGATGTTTGCTTTATTTTTTTCTAGTGCTCAGACCCAAAAGTAAAGCAACTATATTTTGAATTTTCCCAGTTGCTGTCAGTGTCCACTGGGTTACAGGAACCCGCTATGAGAGGTGGAGGCAGATGGCAAAAGAGGAGCTGAGGAAAGACTGTTCTGGTGTCTGTGTGTAGTGAAGCATAGGGAATAAACATGCTCATTTTCATTTTCACACCCTGCTCAGTCTGCAGGCCTGGAACCACTGCAATCAGTCTATTAATGTGGATTTACAGCTACACAGCAGCAGAGGAGGAATCCTGTTGTGTGGTGTCATTTGCCATGTAATGATACATGCAATGTAGTGGCAACGTGGAGAACCTCATTAAGAATATATATATAGTTGACAAGCAGCTATATAGGGCTACAACTGATTACGTTTTATTATCAGAAAATTCTGTAGCAGTAAAAAAAAAGAGATCTTCAGATTGTTAGTTTTTTTTAAAACTAGTACTACCAAACCAAAGGACAGCCGCTCAATATTTATAGAAGAAAGCTGAGAAAAGTTACAGAACTTGAGAAGGTAACCGGAGATAGTATTAAATATAATATAGTATGCTTTCTGAAAAAAAAATGTGTGCCATACAGCTGCTGACATTGTGTACTTGTACATACAGTACATTTCTGTGTAGTTAAATTCTGTCTAGGTACAAGATAATAACACAAAGGAAGCTAAAATTAAATGCTGTCCACACTGCTGTTTGAATCATAGAAGAACAAGCACACATATGGGTGCAGAGTGGAAATTTGATGTTAATCTGGTCAAATCTGTTGTAAAGCATTACTATTAGTTTAATTACTTGGAACTGTAAACACAGGCAGCGGGAAATGGTAGAAAGTATAAGTACATATCAGATCAGGTCTGATCTCGCTCTAGCTACAGAAGTTATGATTGAGCTGTTTTGTGAATTTGTGAATATCTACTATTTTTGGCAAAACATGGGGTAGAAGTTCAACACAAGGTTCCCAGCCAGGATCAAACAGTGCACATACTGTGTGTATGTCAGGTGTTGTGTTTATCTTAAGGTGTTCTTAAGACAGTGGGAAAGTGGACATCAGTGTGCAATTTTAAAAATTTAGAAAAATATTCCAGAAAGAAAGTGAAAACAACATTGTGACCTCGAGTTTGCGAAGATAGTGAAACAGCTGAATCAAACTAGTGGATGTAAAAGAAGAAATGTTCAGAATTTCTCATTTTCTCTCATCTTTATGGGTCTCCAAATAAGCTACATACTATAAAGGACATAAAAACCATAAAGGGAGATTAAACATCTTTAGAGAATATTTAAATTAACTCTTAAACACAGTTGTTTCCATAACTAGCGTGCCTTGTTGACTGCTGTTATTTTTTCCTAACTTCCCTTTCCAATTTCCATTCTTTGGAAGAAAGACTATGTGGATACAACTCTTCTGACATCACATTTGACACTCAGATAGTGACATTTATAAAAATGTTTGGCAGCATTAAATTAAAAAGAAAAGTTCACCTTTTCCACTGCACACGATTCCATCTGCGGTCTCACAAAGGGCTTTGCTCTGGGCATCGCTCATACCACAAGCCCTGGGGAACTGGCATAGCTTCCCGAACCAGCCGTCCCTGCAGATGCACCGTCCACATGAACAGTAACCGTGACCTGGCGGTGGAGGGCAGAAGGGCCTTCATTTAAGGGAGACAGAATATGGAGCATGGCCATGAGAAATAGCACAAACAAATAAATGAAGCATCACAGAGTGAAAAGTCAAGGGAGATGCAACTGGAAAGCAAAAGGATAATAATAAAGCCCATAACCATAGAAAGTTGACAGTGCAGACAATGAACCTTGACACTAATAGGCAGTACAAGGAGACAGAGCAGCAGGAAGACAAGAGAGGGAGGCACAGTTGGCTTATTGGATTTCCCCTGGGGACATGAAAGGAACTGTCATCACTGGTCTTGTGCTGTCCTTAATAAATTTCCAACAACAACAACGAGCAAACACACAGCAAACACACAAAACTAGGGATATTTAACTGACTGAAAGGAGCAGTTGGATGCTGTGATACCTTAATAGCTGGCAGCATCACTGTGGTTTTAACAAGTACTACAGCACTTATACCCTCCTGCATCTCAAAAAGGACCCTCGGATCCCTCACAGTCTGCTTTTCTTCAATATAAATCAGGTCATGGAGATGCAGCTCCATCACTGATTGATTCCTTCATGTTCACATCTGGTAACAGCTGCCAAGTTGAAGAGGTGGTGATGAGCAGTGCATTTTCCATCATTTTCATTATTGTACTGTGCTGCCGCAAGTTGTTTGATGTAAGGGTGTACAGTACTGACTCAACCAAACAGCTGTTCGATTAATTCTTTCACCTCTTAAACATTGAGCCACAGACTCACACACACATTTTAATGCATATAGAGTAAACTGCAAAACTTATGCAAATGATTCACTTAGCAATTTAAAGTCAGGAGAAAGCAGGTGTAAAAATTTTGGCATGACAGTTATCATCGGAGCTGAGAGCACATCGGAGTTGAGAACACCTTTGAGGAGGGAGAGGATGTTTGTAAATCACGTCGCCCACCAGAGGAAAATGTCAGGGACTTTTACAGGCGCTCTCAGACAGGAATGTGATAGGCTACATTGCCAGTCTCCACGAGCTGGCATCAGCTGAGAGGAAGTTTTACTGCAAACTGTGTAACATTAAGACACAGATAATCTCCCCCCTGCTGGAGCTGGAGTCTCTGAGTTCGGCTCTCGGTCTGGTCGCCTTCGGGCTCCTGCAGACGCTGGCAGGTCAATTCAGCCATCTGTGTCACCTAACCGGGCAGCATGCCGCCAGCCTTACATCTAACCTGCGCCGTGGTCGTGATGTCAAAACCCGGTCCCGGATAAGTGGAGGAAAATGGATGGATTGATGGACTTTTACAGGCTTTCGGGTCAAAAGTAAAAGATGATTTGACTGGCAGGAGATTAAGTGATTAGCATTCTGAAATATGCATAATACATTCCATATTCAAGTTCAGTTGCTGTAAACCATTTTTCATCCTTCCTCTCAGTCCAGACATGCGCAACATCCTTCAAGCAGCAGATCCAAAACGGAGGTGGATTCAAATTAACACATGTGCTTGTTTACATCATCAATGTACGGCGCTAAATAAAAAAATTGCAGTGCAGCAATATTTTATGCACCTGATGCTAATTTGTGAGAGGCTTAGTAAATATCCCCTCAAATATTTTTTGCAGCAGCATATCAGGTTTGTTACTGGTGGTACTGGTAAGCGCCACTCAGTATTTCCATTAAAAGGAATGTCTTATTGGTCATCATCTCTTACATCTTAATCTCATTTTTAATCAGTTCTGTTTTTCCTGATAGATGCAACTTTATACTGATGAACAGTGTCAATGTTTTTAAAGAAAAAAAATTGGTGTTTTTGGAAAATTACTTATTTGTTTTCTTGTCAAGAGTTTAGTGAAAACAATCAATACAATTGTCATATTATTACATTACATCTGAGGCTACAGCTAGCTGCCTATTAGCCTGGCTTAGCATAAGAACTGGAAGTGAGAGAAAACAGCATCTAAAGGTTAAAAAAATCAGCCTTCCAGTACATCTGAATATCACTAATAACCGTTGTGTCTAAACAGAAGTCATTTTGCAACAACTAGTGGAGACTCCAGGAGCTAATTGTACCTGATTTCTCATTTGGTTTTTCTAAAAACGAAGAAATAAGGTGTTCTGTATTAATTAGTGAGCTTTAGAGCTGTCTGGTAAGTGAAATCTGTTCCTTTTGGACAGAGCCAGGCTTGCTATTTCACCCTGCTTCCAGCCTTAATGCTTTCCTAGGCTAGTCAGCTCCTGGTGGTAGCTTCATATAAAGTGTACAGATATGAGAAAGGTATTGATGATATTATCATCAAGCTTTCAAAAAGAAAACAAATGTGCTTATTTCACAAATAACCTCATACTGAAGTTTCAACCAATTTCTCTGAACAAATGGGTGAGGAAGAATTCAAATCCTCAGTGTCTTTATGGAAACTTGAACAGAATATAGCTCCACACCAACAACTACGTAAACCTGAAAGCAATGCATCATTAAAGTCTTTCCTTTCTATCTCTCAATCTCACTTTCTGATGCTGACAAAGTGTTCATCAAACAGAAGTACAGGAGGGAAATGTGTTGAGGGTGTGATTGTGGTGGAAGGTTGTAAATAAACGCTAGCTTCTGTCTCAAATGGAGTGGCAACTATGGCAGACCATGCACGGCTGGCTCAATCAGCCAGGCTTAGGGAGCGGTTAATTGCTTTGGAGGAACGGCAAACCTAGCCGTCATTCAATTAGTCTGCACCTGCCTTTCACAGAGCACACATTGTGCTGTAACTTTTAGAGATGAACTGTGAAGAGGGGGTGGTTAATCAGGTATTTAACCCAGCAATGATCTGTACTGTATGCAGAAAGTGTCTGTCAGAGGTTGAGAGTTGACTGCCACAGAGAGAGGATGGAGCTGAATGAGTAATGTGAGGAAGGGAAGTAACTCCTCCATGTAAACACTCCACTGAAAAAGGTTCCTTATGAAGTCATATCTGTATCGATAAGTACTAAATATTTTTCACAAAAAAATAATCAAATTCCATCCTGTTTTCAAGAGAAATTGATATCTTTCAAGATTTTTATAGAAATATGTGCTTGTATCTTGAAACAAGAATGAACAAGGTAGACAGGTAAACGTAGATTAAGAAGAATGTAAATTTCATGCAGAAAATAGTTCAAATGTTCTTAATTTACTACTGCTGCTGCTATTTTTGTCTCTTTTCTGGAGAAAACAAAACAGTACTTGATAAAATCTGTCTTTTTTATGAGAAATGAAGCCTTATTCTGTCTGAAATTTCAGCATGGCAGGTGACTCCTTGCCCTTAGCATCCAGTTAAATGTTGAAGTTGTCAGTTATTTGATGGTTCTGTATATTTGAGCAAACCTCCTCAACTTACTATACAAAGTTTTCAAATATTACATGACAAATCTTTAGCATTTTTCATGCATTTGCAGTTTAGCAGATGGATCGGGCTGCATGTTTCTGTCTGAACATGACCTGTGCCCAAGAGCATGGCTTCCGACCTGGACCCGACAAGCTTTTACTACTGTATATAATGTCCGATCCTGACCTGAGCCTGACCCAGTTGAGTTTGTACTCTATTTTTCCCTTTATTTTTAAGCGAAGCAGACATTTGAGTGCTCCAGCCATCAGGCCTAAAGTTTGACCTGCATGCCAATACCCAACTGAATATAATTTTTAAATTTCTATCTGAACCTGGTCCAAAGCCTCGGCTACCGATGGGTCCCGCTGGGCTTGGCTCAGGTATCCACACTGATCATCACTGTTCTAATATACAATATTTTACTTGACTTAGGTAAGTGAAACAGCCACAGCAATTAATAATCATATCTAGACATAACTGTTTATGTCAGCAGCTAAAATATGTTACAAATGCTACATTATGTTGTATGATGTGCCTGTTATATTGATATTTTTGATATTAACTCACTATATCATTATGTGTTGATGTGAATCATGGGTATCATGGAATTTGTCTTATGTTTCACTGATAATACATTTACAAATAGATGATTCTGAGGAGGAAGAACTTGAATACAACATTACTTATAGCTTCTCATTTGGGGAGGGGAAGCAGTGTCAGCCTTGACCTACATCATCAGCTACTGTGATGGATTTTCTAGCCCGATCAAATTGGTAGCAGCATCTATATACTAGTACCACTTATATACAGTATGAGTTTATCAGTGTGGGAGCGTCTGAGGATACAAGGCTCAGGAGAAATTCACAGCATTAATAATGGGTGCCTTTGATGCATACACAGTGTGGCAGTTGCATATTTTATTGGGAAAAGTAAATGTGGGAAAAGCCATTATGAACAGTAGCAGTTAGACTTGTGCATTTCCAGCCATGACAAGTAAAAGTACAGCTGAGCCCTGACAGCCACAGTCAGCAGTCTGGCTAAACACTAACACCACACTCATATCCCCTGTGGATTCACAAAATCACAGGTTTCAGACTTTTAAATACAGCTCGTGTCAACATCCAAGTCATAATTATGAGTGGAACATTTGAATAGTTCTGAAAGCTTTGATATTGTACTGTATACACAGAGTTGACATTTATTACCATAAAAATGCCTGAAAAGGCAAACAGCTACTGGTCTCCCATGTCAACCAAAGTCTGTTATTCAAGGTAATTAAATCCATATGTGATGGATGTTGTGCTAAATTGGTAATGCGCAGTATTTTTAACCCTCACCTTGACCAAATCTACAGTGTCAAAACAACCTGTAGAGCTGTCCACTGTCCAGCTGTCACATTTCATAAACATGCTAAGTATTCCCTTATCTACCATCTGTCCCACAAAATGAATTCTGTGGATGAATATCTCAGAGTGGAACAGACAGCAGAGTCCCTTCCCTGCTTGATACAGTATATCTGGTGGAGGCAAAGAAAATGAACTGACAATCCACACTCTGTTTACTCTTTGGAAAGTTGTGCATGTGTTATGTTGTATCACAAAGATTGAAAAGCAGACGTCTGAGTGTGTCCAAAAATGCAGCACTGTGTGCCCTGTACACTCAAACAGAGGAAACATGCAGTAGCAATAAGCAACATAAAAAAAGTAATAAAGGAATGCTTCTTACAAAAGCCCTTAGAGGGAGAATCACATTTTGCTGTACTATTGTTAGTCTCCCCTCAGACTCTTGGTTTTGTCATAGAAAATATAGCTTTTCTCAAATGTTCTGCTTTTCTGTAGGAGCATCACCATCCTTAATTGGATATTTCCTTCATTTATGTTCTCTCTCTCTCTCTCTTTCTGACAGCAGCTGCAAAGGGAACTGTTTATTCCAACTGAGCCTTGAATGTTTTAGTGTGATCTATTCATTTCAGTGGTTGTGCCTAAATGGCTCAGATTTAAAGTACAAACTCCCCAAGAACTCAAACATAAGTTTCAAACCTCAGTTCAGCTTCTTTCAATTTTAGCTCAAGGGTTTTGAGGGTGGTGCCTGTAGATATCAAAGAGAGGAGATTGTAGTGAGCTTCAAATTCAGTGTCTGCTCCTGGCATTATTTCCCACTTGGTGAATATATCTGTGTAAATACTGTACAGTAAAAAAAAAAATGTGTACAGTTTCCTGTGAGGTAATTAGGAGAGGAATCATATGTGTAATTATATCGAGTACACGTTTAGATGTACCTCTAATGTTTCTGTTCTGAAATAGAGGTGATGTAGACACATTTGTGGGCATTAAATTCATAAACCTCAGTGTTCATAGCACATAGTTCTGTGGAGAGTTCCTGGGATAATTAAATATTTCTGTAATTTCATTGTATAAATTTACAATACCTATACCTACAATAAATATAAATTATCATTATAACAGTGCCATAGGAGGAATAAACACAACATAACAGGGTCCATAATACATACAAAGGAAAGGCAGTGATGACTAAGGAGACCAGGACGAACAGGTACACATACACACTAATGGCAGGAATCAGGATAGCAGGAGGATGAGAACGGACAGGTGAACAAAAAGAGCCAACGTAAACAATGTAATCCACAGCACAGGGACTGTCAGCGTGGAAGACAAAGCACGTATTTCTGTGTTGCTAACTGCATAATTAGCATGATAAAGCCAAGCCAACAGGCACAGATACTGTCAGCGTAGCATCTTACACACGTCAAAAAATATGCGGGTCAAACACAACATTTGTCACTTACATAGGGTAAGTATTGTCCGTTACATGTCACAATGCTCCGGCGAGGGGGCGTCTGCCAGAGGTATAAATAAGGAAGCCAACAAATCACCGGAATACGCCTCAGGTGTGCGCACCGACCCACGAGTCACTAATTACCCGATGCGACACAGCTGAGGCGTTGATCCCGCAAAAAGGGAGAGCAGGAGAGGAAAAATAGAAAGGGAGGCAGGTCGTGCCGAGCTGACCTGACAGAGCAAAATTAATGGTGGCCTAAGACTCTAGCAAGGTAGAGTAGAGTAGGTACTTTATTGATCCCACAGTGGGGACATTTCTGTACATGACTTGCATGACAAGTTATGACCAGTTGTGAACTTTGTTTGTACATTATACTGAGTATGAGACAAATTCTTTCATAAGAGTTGTGAGTGCCACTTCAGAATGAGACTGTATATGTCATTCTTACATGAAGACTGTTTTCTATGCAGAAAATGAGCAGTAATTCAACTTCCGGAACATTGACTGTCTATAACGTCTCTAAAGCTTTAACTGTTAATGTTAAAACATAGACTTGCCAGCTGTTTATTGCTGTGTGCTCTCAGATTCTGTTCCTTAAGCAACTTGCACAGCCCTTAATAGGCACAAACATTTGTGGTGTGTGTATGAGTACTCACCTCCACAGACCTCTCCACCAATTCCCTCGCACTGACGGTTGTCACACTCACAGTTTTTGCCATAAACACGACTGTCTCCAGGTGGGAAGCAAGTACACTGTCCGCACTGGCACTGGCCTAAAAATAATTTTAAAAAAGCAGATGTTGTCTCATGTCTGATCAGTGTTTCATACAGGAATTGTGTTTTAATAGCTGTTCAGTAGAATATGCTGCATCTCATATCATCCTGACTTTGTACTTTTTAAAAAATTCAACCTGAGATTGATTTGCATAACTACAGTAGATAAGCACATTAACTGATTATAAGCTAGACTTAATTTACCTGACAACATTCCCTCCAGCCTCAAGGGGAAGTCTTATATGTAGATCATTCATTTTAACAAACACTCACATTGGCTACATGCCAATAGATGCTGGCTAATTGTGAAACTCGTTAGAAAAAAATCATTTATTCTGTACTGCCCCATGCAGCCTACCTGCTGTTGATCATTTAACCTACTGTACACTGAGTTATTTTAATTATGCACGTAGTGTAGGCCACGCACAGAAATCTGAATGTTTAGAGGGAGAAATGTTTGTTAATCCACTTTACAGAGAAAAGAGAAAGAGACATGTTCATATTCACTGTTGCTGCAGACAAATATACACAGAAGGGCTACAAACAGGTAAGTTGCCCAGTATGAAAAATAGCTGCACAAAGGGAATTTCCCAGCTCAGTGAAGACAGATGGTTAAACCACAGCATACTGAATGCCTCACTTTCTCTGTCCTCCTGTTTTTATTGAGCTGGGTATATCCTTTTTGCACAATCATTTTTCACTGCAATGTGTTTTCTATTTGTAGTTCTGCAGGGTGCAGTCTGTGTTTAGTGCCTCTAAATAACACCTAAAACGTATCCGTAATGTGTATGAACCTGCCTTTATCTTTTGATGACTCATGCTGTGGAACTAGCGGTAATAAACCTAGGACAGTACCTGAATCTAAAAGACAGGCTCCTGCCTGACATGCTGTCTATGTCACATCATTGTCACTTCTTATGGCCTCACACAAACATTTTACAAACCTCTCTTTCGATTACACATACAACATATCACCATGTGCTCTGGGGACTCAGTTATCCTAGCAACTGGTGATGTCATAATACCTCTTCCTTAGCAATTATCCCTGTGGTTACCCAAACTGTCTACACCTCTAGACCCATGTGTGGTATGTGTAGTCATGTGTTTAATTTGTCACGGTGTCTGAAGGGAACACTTTAAAGAAAATGTCCTCAGGAGACACCAGCTTGAAACGATTTTGGCTCAGTTTTTATAAAACTGGACACAAATGTAGGTATCAACACAGGGCAGGTGAAGGTGTGGCAAACAAGGGCTAGAGCAGGGTGAACACATCCTTAAAGGGATGAGTACTGAACCACCAACTGGTAGAGTAGGCATGGTCAATCAAATCAGCTCCTCTCAGCTTCTCCTAAGACAGATACAGTCTAAATGCAACACCCCCAAACATGAGTTTGATGAACTTTATAAAAAGGTAAGCTGCTGAGACAAACGACAAAGTGAAGGCATTTAAGCACTGTGCATGCGGACATAATGTCTCTTTCAGCCAGAAATCTTTGTGTTGCTATCAAAAGAAATAATTAAACTCCAGAACTGATGTTGCAGTCAAGCCTCCAAAACTTCCTCCAGATGTTTCCAAATAAATAGCACTGTATTAATGTCATTCAAAGATTTAGCCTCTCCTCTCAAACTAAATGAAGTCAATGGTATTTTAGTCAATCCAGAGCCTTTAAAGCAGAATTGCTGTAACATTTGAGGGGTCAAAAACAGCAGCAGGTCACATGACTCATGTAGCTTCAAATTGTTCCAAACAGTCAATTCAGATTCATGTTTTCTGTGGGGAACAGCAGGAGGTATCAGCAAATAGCTGTTTTTAATGACTTGTACAGCCTTGCAAACTAATTCTGGGTTCTGTTGTTGTAGTTCAACTAATTTATCTAGTTAGCTACGTAGGTACCTAATTATTAAAATGACACATTATTAAAGGGAGACAGTCAGAAAGGTTGTAAAACGTGTTTTGACAACATGTCACTAACTTAAAATGTCACAAGTATAATTATTGCTATTAAATTCAGCTTCTTACTTAAGAGGATAGCAGTGAAGCCAACTCTATGGCGCCGCTCCGATTATTTGGAATTATTCTATGTTCTTATGATCCTCCAGTTCTGTAAAAATGTTTCTTATATAGAGTCGCTCTTCTTCTTAATCCACTCTGAGTAAACCTATCAAATCTGAAGGACATGAATTTAGCATATCTTGGCTTCTGCTGGTTTGATTATGACCATGTTTATAATCTATCTTTTTAAGTTGGTTGTCCAATAATCACCTGAATACCCCTTAAATATTAGTTATCACAGGTATCATGTGACCTATATTAACAATCAAACCCACAGTATGGGCCGCACACCAGAGATTAGAAAGAGGAATCCCATCAGCAGAAAGATGTTAAAAGCAGTTGTTTCCTTGAGGAAATACCACAGTAGAAATAATGTGCAATCCACAAGTGTCTTGCCTTCACCTCTCAGGAAGAAACGCCCTGAAGCTGCTGTTTCAAATTTCAAAGCTTTTCCGCTCAAGCTACCATCTGCACCAGGCGCAGCCATCCATGACTAAGTGATTTTCTACGTCTGCCTCCTTTGGTTTCTCTCTCGCACTCTCTTACTCTTCCACCCCATTTCCTGCCTCCCTTCATTGTATTGCCCACAGACGCTCTCTGTCGCCTCCCTTTTTCACCCTTCAGATCTATTACCATCCACTGGAGCCTTGCAATGAACAGTCTGTTACAGTTTGTTTCCAACCACTTTGATCTTCCAAACAAAATGGGCATCCTCAGGAAAAAACAGTTTATTAAATAAAACCACACAGGCCCACAAAAATACTGTACTTTTTACTCACTGCATTTATTTGATAACTTTAGTTACTAGTTACTTTTCAGAATGAGATGAATAAAAAGAAGTATGATCATAAGGTTTTATTGATCCCTGATGGGAAATTCACAAGATACCCAGCAGTATGTAAAGTGCTGTACTTCACATTTTAAGTATATAAGGTAGTTAACATTAGCTCTACCTTTACCGGCTGCAGCATTAAAGTGATGTACACAATAATACATCAATAATTATAGTCCAATAATATGATATACAGTACTTTCATTTGTAAAGTGCTATTCTGCAGAATGAGTACTTTTACTTTTAGTATTTTAAGTTGTTTCGACGCTAATGCTTTTGTACCATTATTTAAGTAACATTTTGAATGCAGTATTTTTACACTGAGTACTTCTTCCAACACTGCTTTTGTGTGCTATAAATGTACAGTACTTTCCCTATGCTGAACTGAACTGGGATGGCTGAAAACGTAAATTTTAAAAGGAAGATATGAATCCCATTAATTGTTCTATTGCACCGGGTAATTTAAAGTTCCATTTTGTTGCAGCAATTGGAGATAATTTAAAGGTACTGCTGGAGGAATTAAAGCTAATTAACTCTCCCGGCACAACTTAATATGTGCTGTTTCATTATGTGTGTGTGTGTGGGGGGGTCTTTGATGATGTTGACTTGTTATGGTAGCATCCCTGTCCTGTGTAGTTTCAGGTGCCTGATCTAATCAGCAGCTTTCTCAGCATGAAGGATACCTGTGCCACATACATAAAGATAATGTTTCCATTTGACCTTCTTAAAATCACTCCTCCAGATTGTGTTGCCACATGAGCAATAGCTCTGTAAAGCTGTGTTTTGTTCTTGGCTTTATCTGAACACTGCCTTTCGTCCTCCAGACACTACAAATCCTGCAGCTTGCCATCCCTTCTAAATCTTAGACATTTATTCATCAGCTTGTTTTTAGGGTAGCAATATCCAGACTTCTCTTGACACTTGACTATAGGTGCCATAGTTGGCTAAGAATGTGACTTCACATTCATACAACCCAAATAGTTGAATGAAACTTTAGCTTAATACAGTCTATTCTACATGTGGGCATTTATGTCCACTGCATGTAAAAATCAAACTGCTCAGTACTGCAAAAAGTGTGTACAGTAATTTGATTCTCCCATTCTGGGCTGATAATCTGTGGGCTGTGTACATTAGTAGTAGTTTGCTCTTTGTGGGCTGTGTACATTAGTAGTAGTTTGTCTGCTCTTAGTCAGCTACTTACTCTGAGTGACAGGGTCCTACAACATGTGAACACAGTTTTCTGCCAAGGTCTTTGGTTATTTCAAGGAAGAGATTTCTATCTGTGTGGTTTCGTCTGAGCTCTGATGTAAATTGGGCAGGAGAAGATGATGTCACACACCTCTGTGCACCAATTTGGACTTTACCATTTTTGAGTGAGAATCTGATGACAGTTGAGGGATTGTTTGCTTATGTTGCTAGCACTGTCAACGAGTCTGGACCTAAAATATACACCATATTCCAACTTTTACCTTACTGTTGTCAATCAGCAGGCTCAAGGGTGCGTGACTGCGACAAGCAAAAGCCTGGTTTCCAGTGCTGGCTTAGTATCGGAGTCGAATATTAGCATTAAGCCTTACGTTTGGAGGCTCCAAGAAAACAAGCTTCCTCTGTTCAGAAGGGCCACTAATGAAGCAATGGCTGCATTGTAATACATCTAGACACAATGAACCATAGCTTGTTCTACTGAGAGAGCTGTTGCAGTCATGGCTTAAGTTGTTGCTGCCAGATAGTGCCCCTTAATTTTTCACACACACCCACACCCACACACCCACACACACACACACACATGCACATGTATACATATGCAGATTTGCATATCACAAAACATAAAAATTAAACTTACTTAAAAAAGTAGTAGAGACTCATGCTTAGGATATGTAGTACAGTGGTTGCTGTTTAGCTCATGGCTTACCTAAAGATGATATAACTGTTTATTTCCGGGCACCCTTATGTTTTTAAGGCCCTCTTAAAGGTGGATTAAGTGATGATAGCCTGGAAGTGGTCTATTTTACACCAAGAGGTAAAAGTAGTACCCATAATAACAGGAGGAACAGGGAAGCCCAGGTACCTCGTCCGAAGCAGGGCAAACTGGACTTTCCTTGACATTTCTTCAGACTGCTCTCCGCAGACAGGGAGCATGACAGAGGATGCTCACACTTCTTCCCTGCCCAGCCTTCCTTGCAGTCACACCTGCCACAGTTACACTGGCCATGACCTGTTAAGAGGAAAGAGGAAAAAGTGCATGATAGATTTTAACAGAAAAAGTTTAGGTAACCATACTGAACGGGGAAAGAAAGACAGCATTATGTGAAGTGGACACACCAAGCAGGGTAAAGAGTCAGATAGGTTATGGAGAAGAAAAGAGGCCATATGGGAGGTGGTGTGAAAGTGTGAGAGAGGGAAAAGCAAGAGAGGCAGTAAAATTAACACAGGAGAGGACACGGCAGAGGTGAGAAGATGAGCGAGAATTTAGTGCCCTTTTAATACTGGATGAACAGGCTTCTCTGCCTGACCTTTCTAAGCTTGTGCACGACCATTATGCCTATACAGTTTTAAACATTATAAATGTGAATTATGTCTGCATTTTAAGCTGTAAACAATTTATATGAAGCTGTGCACCAAATAACTGTTGACTGAGATGATGATTAGTTTAATGAATAGTAGGCACAGTGGTACTGTAGCATCTATCATATTTTGTCGATTAATTCCGAAAAGCAGGAGCAACAAGGACCCTCCTACCACTCATCAGTTTATTGTTAAGTTACTGTATATGGAAAGCTCACATTTACTGCTACATAGTTGTACCAAAGTACTAGATGTTGGGTTGATTAAAGCAGTAATTTAACATTTTGGGAAAAGGTGCTCATTCATTTTCTTACCAAGAGTTAGAAGACAAGAAAAACCACATCCACGTTTGTATGGTAGCTGTAGGGCTGGCAGCCAGTTAGCTTAGCATTACAACTGAAAACAGGGGGAGCAGCTAGCTTGACTCTACCCAAAAGCATCAGCACCTCTAAATCTAACTAATTAACAATGATGGAAGTACTCAGATTCTCTACTAAGGTCAAAGTAGCAATACCACAATGTAAAAATACTTTACAAGTAAAAATCCTGGATTCAATATTTGCTTAAGTATCAGCATCAAAGTATACTCAAAAGACAAAAAGTAAAAGTACTCACTATGCAGAATAGCACATTTCACACTGATGCATCGAATATTGGATTATAATCACTGATACTTTACTGTGTGCATTAAATTTAATGTTGCAGCTGGTAAAGGTGGAGCTAATTTTAACTGCCTTACAATTTCAAGTATTGATGGGTACTTGTGAATTTCCCATCAGGTATCAATAAAGTCTTATGATTATACTGTATTGTGTTCTGTTATGCAGATTCTGAAAAATAACTACTGTAGTAACTAAAGTTATCAAATAAATGTGGTGAAGTAAAAGCCAGAGCCCAGATTCAGACTTTACATGTTTATCACACAGACGTGAGAGTGGTATCAGTTTTCTCATATAACATCTAAACAAGTATATTTCTCAAAATGTCCTTCATCCACTTTTAAACAGGTTTCAGGGTTGCCATGTATGTGACTGTATTATTTTTATCCAAACACAACATGCTGACCTGAGCAGAAGTCATCAGTGTATCGGTCGTAGGTTGCGTGACAGTTCCTCTCATCACATTCGCAGGTGTCTCCATGAATATCTCCCCAGTTGCCAGAGGGGTCTACATCGTAACAGTTACACTCTCCACACACACAGGTCCCTAACAACCACAGCAAATGTAACCACAAAAACACATTGTAAATTCACATTGTCTTAATGCTTTATTTTAAGTACAGTCTAAATAAATCATCATGTAGATTTAACTGGGAAGAGAATGTACAAAGCAAAGTCCACCTAATTGTCTTTGACGTCTTGTACAGATGTGAATGCGATGAGAAGGTATATTTTTCTACTTTAGCAAAGGATGGAGCCAGCTGGATAAATAACCTTTCCCCAGCTGTTTCATTTCTTCTTCCTTTATCTGTCTGCTTGTCCCTCTCTTTCTCATTTGTTTTACATCTTAGCCAGGGCATCAGCTGAGCAGCAGCCAGTGGAAATCCCATTTTCCCTTATCAGCAGTGACAGAGCACAGGGAACCCCAGGGGAGCCAGGCCAGCTGGCAAGCCTTTGGGTTGTGGCTGGCATGTGTCTGGCCCTTTCCCCTGGGCTTGCTCTCCCTCAACACCTCATAACCATAGAGTGCTGGATTTTTTTGAGCCATGCACTTTTTATGTCTACCACAAATGTCACAGCTGACATTCACCAGAGAAGATCACAGCACCTGTGGTACCCACTGCACAAAGATGTTCTATAAATGCTCAAATATAAAATCAGAGGTCATTATTAGAGAATACATTCAACAAAAAAGGAACCTGAATCATACAACCATATTATGTCTGAGTCAAATTGTTTTGATCAAGAACCTTGTTAGCCTCCAGTATTATGTTATCACTTTGACAGCATTCCAGTTAGTATATTCTTAGCTCAGCTGAGGAAGGTAGGTGAACTGAAATGACACAGTGAGTCACACATTTCACTCATTCATTACAGAGTATGAGCAAAATAAATGAGAGAAAAGGAAATATTTTATAGTCCAGTGCAAAACACTTCACATCTCTACATTGGTACAGAATGATGAAATCAAATCAACCCTCTATTATGTAATCATCTTACACTGGGAATTAACTTCACAATACTTAAAAGGAAGATTGCATGTCACGTACTGTTGGGATGGGAAATGAGAACTGTTCTCATTATAATCAGTAACAAATTATTCGAATTCTGGGAATTGTTTAGCACTTGAACAGGGCAAAATAAAATAAAAAATCTGAACAAGCGTGATAATTTTACCAAACTGGAAGCAAAGGCAAAGTACAGTATTTATAATATTAAAGTAATAATTATAATACTGACAGTGCACTTAGACATTTGTTGTCAGTGCAGGACATTAAAGTAAAGATGTGCTGCTTTTTCCACATTTATCAGTTGCCTCAAGTAAAATGTTGAATATCATTAGAGCCCCGTGCAGCATTACGCCTTAGATAAGAGTAAGTAACTAAGGCCGAACCTTTCACAAACATAAACATACTTATTATTTCATTTAATCAGTTTTAAATACTACTTGTCAAACTCAGGCTATAGCTAGTAGTACATGTTGGTATTATACAGTAGTTTGTTTTTAAATTTAGTGTTCTGTATATGCTGTGATATTTGTTCTTCTCAGTAAACAGTTTAGTTTTATCTGAACCTGAAGACAGCAGAGGAACTAAATTAATGCTCTAAAATGTGCACTCTTTGTCCAACAGTGTATCTAAACAGGCTCTATAAAGGAATCAATAAAGAACTGGATCAGAGCTTTTGAAATAATCAGAAAAGGTTGTCAAGCTAAAAACAAGCAACAATAAATATTTACAAAGTGATTTTAGTTCCTTTTTAATTGCAGAAATATTTCCTTTGTTCTCTGGTGACTTGGAATCATAAGGCCTTTGCTGCCCTTTTCTATACTAAACAGGAATACAGAAAGGGACTACTACACCATGAACACCGCCGAAGGTGGATCGCGATCTGTCAGCTGTGCACTTAACCATAAATTGCAGCTCTGCGATGGGGCTTTGTTCAGACTAACCTACCATTTAGCCAGTCCTCAGCCAGCCCGCTGAAATTAATTTTAGACAGCTTTACTGACATCCCACAGGCTCATTTGAGCTAGTGAACTTATTACTCTGACTGCCTGTCTACTAAACTCTGATGACTTTTTTAAACCAGTCTATTTTTGTCTTTTTCTATATTTCCATTTTTTTGTCTCCATCCCTGTCTTCATTCTCTGTTTCAAATTAAAGATGCCAAAGTGACTCACTTTCACTGAGTTGGGCACTTTTGTTATACATGCTGAACTAACCTTAATAACCTAGATCCACATCTGAAATAATAATTCTCACCTACCGAGGGACTACAGTACAGAACATATACAGAACATATACACCTATTCACCATTACATGAAAATTAATGTAGAGTTGGTTTATGATAACTAGGGCCTCTGACTTTATCCAGTGACGTCAGACTAGTGTAACTTTTCTGAATGTTTCTGAAGTGCATAAAGTGCTATTTCAAAAATATTATTAATTGGTTAAAATGTATTTACTTTTGCTGTACTTACATATGTGACTGGTAATATAAGAAGATGATATTTAAGTTTTGTAACACAAGCCTTTAAAAATGTGATACCTTGACATACAGGGTACAAGTTCTTTAGATCAAAAATGGATCTAAATCTAAAATGAGTATAAATTACATTAATTTTTTTCCCAGTGTTTCTTTATGATCCTTTAGATAACGGCGAGAGAATTACCTTGACCTCATTGAGCTTGTTTGTTTGCTGTTTCCAAGCAGCACAATTCAGTTGACATTGTCAGTATGATGAGATGGATTTTAACAGGGTTTAAAGCTGTGGTGACAAACGTGAAAATTTTGAAATTCCTAGTCATACTTATCTTATTTATTTCTCTATTTTATTGCTTTGTGAAACAATGATAATAAATACCTGCTTCCACATTATGGCTGGTGTAAAAACATAATTTAAATGTATTATAGTTTGTATATATTTTAGCATTTTATATTTTATTCATTTATAATGATAGTATCAGAGTTATTTTCTGATATAATCACAAAATAATTTTAAAATAGAATCCCAGGCTATGATTTCTGACTTTAAAATGGGTAAACTGACCTCTGTTGCTGCAGATTTTGCCATCTGGAGACGTGCATCTCCGCTTGCTTTCCCATGGGCTGATGTCACACTGGAACTCACATTTGTCTCCATGCCAACCAGCAGCACAGTAACAGTTTCCACAGTAACACTGTCCATGGCCTGGAAGCACATCAGAATGCATATGCAACAGCTGATGAGTTCACCTCTGTCTTCTACAGATGGACAGCTGTGTTAACAAATTTCACAAATTCTCACTGATTTAAATGTACAGGTTTTACAGTTTAATGCCATCAAATGCAGTAGATACAAGAGATGATACTACATTTAACTCCCAGTTAAATGGCTGGGGAAAATCACATCCAGCACCCAGACAATCAGCACAGACCCCCCTGGAATGTATGATTTCTCTGCTGCTGTTTTCCCTCTACACAAATGACTGCACCTCAGAGGACCCCTCTGTTAAACTCTTAAAGTTCTCAAAAGTCAGACGAAGTGAAAAGGATAAGTAGGCCTTGAATAACCATATGGTATATTAAACTCATCTATCTCTGCTATTACTGGGAAGAATGAAGGGGTGACACAAGGGCTGCAAGGCATACCTCCACACACCTCTCCGGTGTCCTCATCCAGGCACTCGCTGTCATCACACTCACAAAAAAGTCCTGTCACCAGACCCCTGTTGTTGTTATTGTCACACATGCAGCTACCACAGTGGCAGGTTCCTATGGAAGATACCAAATTTAGATGCAGTTTAATTATGCATATTTTTTTCCAGCTATGCCTTCTTCAGTGTACTTTAACTCTTT